AACTATGTCATTTTAATAGTGGTTACATATACAACCAGTGCAAACTGCAGCATTGCCCCTTGCATCATTTTATAACATGACAGGAGTCCTTAGGATTTGGAAGCAGTGACCTTAGTCCATTCCAACTGAGATATTCTGTGATTCTATTACATGCTTCCAAGTAGCAATAAAAATTACTTCCTCAATTTCCCACTAACCTGATATATCTGCAATCGAATCAAAATGTTTAAACACTTGTTTTTACGAGGCAACGACCATCAAAACTTTGAAACTATCAGAACAAAGGAAGGAAGTTGCTTCTGTTTCTAGCTGTTCTAACGAGCTCTAGATTGCTTTCAAGAAAATGCAATCAGGCATTGATCAAGCTGCAAAGAGGGACTTCAGCTGAAGGCATCGTCTTTATGAGGTACTGCCACAGTCTTCTCTGTTTTCAGAATAAAAACCAAAAACTGTCAGAATCTAGAACTGATTATGAAGATCTCATTATTTAAAGCCTTTCATCATTTATTTAGGCAACCAAATAGTTGCCTAAAAACACATTCCTCTTTCTACAGAAATGATGGATAAAATATAAATCTCCAGTCAAGAAAAACGTAGGAAATTACTTCTTACTGGTGTGTTGGGTATAGAACCAGATATTTCATCTCTTAAAATAGCTGACCCCCTTCTGCCAGCAAGATACAGGGTGTGTTTCTAGTATTAGAGAATTAGGAGAGGCTCAATCTTAATATCACATTGTCAAAAAGTATAAAAAGATCTAAATTTGAAAACCAGAGTATAAAAATAGATTATAAATTAGTTACAAGTGCCCTTTTCCTTTACAAAATACCCAGAAAATATGTGATAAACAGTGGCAATACAGTACATAGAACTTCGAAATGAGACCTGCATGAAAATAATTGCATTACTTTCACGGACTATATAAGTGAATGATGCAAGAATATTTGAAAGTTATATTCCTTTATAAAGATGTAATACTATCTGTTTCAAAATTTCCACATTTTTAACAGATATTCTATGGTTTTACTAAAAGTATTGAAAATTATTTACTCGGTAGTATTTTGCTGTTCTCCTGCCTTTAAAGAAAGAAGTTTCAAATAAAAAGAATGACCTAAAAAATAATATGGCTTACACATTTAACATCCAGGGAAATTAAGCCAACTTCCTTCTAGATTCCACTACTTGGGCCTGAAATGCCTTGGAATATAAATGCATAAAAATAGCTGTATAGGCTTAATCCTGACTCTCCACCCACTTCTGCATCCCACCTTTGGCAGTAATCAAGCCCAGATGTTGCAGAAGAAAACTTAAAATGCAGACATGGAACCATGTCTTTCTTATGAAGTCTTGCAGGCCATAATAATTAGACTGTCTTCACCCTACAGGTATGCCATTTTATATCCTGCCCCCCCATACCCCATTTCTTTTTTCCTAATTTATATTTTCAGTTCTTAACATTTTCCTATATTTTTAGAAGGATTGAGAAGAATTACTGAGTAAAGCAGTTGAATTGTTAAAATGGCAGTTACAAACAAGAGAACTGGAAAAAAATAGAGGACTAAAAGACTGCTAAATTGGGGGCTACATCATGTACAAGAGGGAACATAAGCAGGACAGAAACTCAAGTGCAAGAATAAGGTAACCAGGTTGGAACTGTAACTGAAAATGGGCTATGAAAACCTAAGACTCCCTGCAGGATGCAGGAGAGTCGGTTTGCTTCTCTGGGCACCAGAGAAAGGCACACAAGCTCAAAAAAATATTGCAACCACTGCTACTCCATATGCAGGATGTTTTTTGGCCTAGCACGTTTGTGCACATATATATGAAGATATATCATCAAATACATGCTAAAATATGCATTGTACATTCAAACACTGAACATATAACAATACCAGCAACACAATCTTAGCTGATCAAAAAACCTGACCAAAATAGACAGTAACTGTTTCTGAGCTGGAAATAAAGAATATGAACATTCTATTCAGGATTAAGTGAGAACACCCTGTACTTACAGACTTAAATTGTCAGTGAAGTTAGGGCTATCTTTAGCATTTCCATTTTAACTCTGCATTCCAAACAATATATCTGGCAATATCAGAACTGGCCATCAGGACAGTAATTTAACATTCATTAGCAAGTGATGCGATAAACAGAAAGCTCTGCTGTCAAATGTTACAGAAATCTTGATGTTTGCAGTATCTCAGATGATCCACAGCTCTATTTGCTACTTGTATTCCTTCAAGCCCACCATGGAATTTTATATTATTTTTAAGCCAGATGTAGTAATTGAAAGGAAAGGTAGAAAGTTTTGCACTTTGAATGTGGGATTTACACAAACATTATCAGCCAGATTCTTAGATCTAATAGCTCAAGATATTATTAGTACTTCCATGACTCAATTAAAGAATTTCTCTCTGTAGAAGAAAAAGCAACCTTCTGAATAACAAGTACATGGGATAAATTATGGAATATTTGTATTACAGGAGTAATTTTTTTACATAATACTGTTCTCACAAACTATGTGCTTAAGATACATCTTAAGCACATCTTAGTATAAAGACTGTTTTTCCAGGTAAAACTAAATGTAGCTGTTAAGAAAGCTAGAAAGATGTATAAGCTGTTCCTTCATTTAACAGAATGGTGCATTGAAAGATAACTGTGCTAAATAAATAATGAAATACTGTGCTTTTCAGTGCCTCAGTTTAACAAAAAGTAGTCACATGATTTTTTTAAGACTTCAAACAGTGTTTCGGTTTCTTAAAATGTTGCATGCCTTGAAACTCTAATGAAGTAGTGATGCATTTTTAATTGCACAGTTAAAATCATTTTCATTGTTCTAAACGGATTAGTTTTAAAATGATTTGCCAACTGGAAAAAAAAAACAAAAACCAAAAAACATTTCTGTGCAACAGTTATCCGATCTCACATCTCTAGACAATGACTTCTTTGTCACATTGTCCGGCTTGTCCTCCTTCAAATGTTTACTGAACACAGTCACCTTTTTGAAATTATTCACAGCAAAGAACTTACTCTCTTCCGTAAGCTTCAAAGACTTTCTCTTAGTAAATCTGCAGCAAAAATCCTTTTCTGGATGAATGAAATTCATCTCCAGTTCACAATGCAACACTAGAGGTGTTTGAAATTAAAAACACATTCCATATTTTTTGCCTGAAGTACATTTATAACATTTGACCTTGTAACAGATGGGCAAATCAAAGGGGTGAAATTATCAGTGCCTGCCCCGAAGCTGTGTGTTTATTGTGGGGAACACAAAAGGAGGGCAGCAAAAGATACATTATAAAAGTGTATTATTATTTTGGACAATTTCTCACATAATTATTCTTATTCACTAAACTTCACATAGTCTTAAACAAGCATTCTGCTATTTTAAACCGTGTCTCTAACAGCATGTTCCAAAGTATAATTCTTTGCTTTTAATGCTCAGGTTCATTTTTCAGAAGAAGCCATTTACTGTCCATAAAATACAAATTTATTAAAAATAAGTCCACTCACAGCTTATTATTTATCTGATGGCTTTATATATCTTTGTGCCACTTATCTATTTATATAGTAAGACACTTTAATGAGTGAGAAACCCTCACTTGAGCATCTTTGCAATGCCAGAATATAGTGAATGAAAACTAGTGAGTCAGCAGGAGGGCTCCAGGGGATGCTACTTCTGTCTGAATGCAGGAGAAAGAAATAGATTCATGAAAATTTAACGTGATTAAGCTAATTCTACACAATAGTTCTCAAAGGAGACAGTAATGTAAAGTCTTTTTCCTCTCTTCTGACCTTGTTGCAAAGAAAAATTTTTGCCTGTCTGTTGAATTTACTGAAATTGACCAAAAGGTTCAAACATTGCTAGCTGGATTACCGACAGCGACACAGCAGGATTTCCTTAGGAAATGAGGCTGATAAGATTGTTTAAAATATCCAAAATGGATTATATTTTATTTTCAGTTTGTGTTATATGAAGTTAAAAAAAATGTTTACAGAAATGAGCCTTTTTTACCCTTTATATTTTTCTTATTTTCCCCATTCCATAGTAATAGTTCTCTAAGTATATTTTTTTCTAGAATTGTCAACTTGCAATTTCCTAGTTGTATTAAACCTTTAAAGATTTCATTTAACATTTTTATTACTAACTTTCCTACATGGATAGAAGAAACATTAAAATGCAGTTTTAACATATATTTCCACTGCTAGTTTTAGTTTTACCATAAAAGTTCCACACTCAGTTTTTCTTTTGGTCTGCAACAGCTAATTTTCCTGTCATAAAATGGTAAAATAGAGTTCAGTGTATGCTAATGTATCCTATTTTGGATACAAAGGTTAATTTTTAAGCAGCTTTTAATCATTTTGATGTTTAAGAGAATATGGAAAAATTAACTGGCTTCAGCCATGTTTCTATTCTTACTTGTAGTTTGACAAACACTGTTTGTCAAACTTTTTTTTTTACAACCTTAATTACCTAATGGCTCTTAATTAGGTTGTCAAAAATGCTAAAAGTTTCAGAATGTTTTGACTGAATTGAGTACAGTGGCACTTCCATTTGCCTACTCTGTTGTGATTTAACCAAAGTAAACACATTTAATACTGTCAGATTTCCATCATAAATAATTTCCTCTAACCTTGCAATTTTATTTGTGCCATTCTTAAATCTTTAAATGTTTCTGTTATGTTTTTTTTAACCATACCAGCTCAAAGAATAAGATTCTTAGTTTTTTATTAATGATGCAATATCTGAGCATCAATACCATTTTTAATTACTGTCAAAGATTTGCCTTTTCACTCCAAATCTTAATTTTTCAGTGCTCCTCAGTCTTAACAGATTTTTTTTACTAATATCATTAGAAGAGTCTTGTGTAGAATCCATTTTATTTCTTACAGCTAAATTTTCAAAATATGCTGTTCAGACTATTAGTTCGGTTCAGTCCTCTCATATTTTTTTTTAACAGATGTAAGAAGATGAGAAGGAAGTCATGACTGCAACTTACCAAGAGTTCGGAAAGGTCTTTGGTTTGGAGTATGGGAGAAAAAGCCAGGTTTCAAAGCATTTGTGATCACAACATCAAAATACTCTTCAAAATCATTTCTGGAAAGCAAAGGAAATTAAATTCAATAAGGTTGTTCATACTTCAGGATTTGACAAACCAGTACAACACTTCACTAAAGTATCCTCTTCTGTTGTGGGTTTTTTTTTTTTTTTCTGTATAGAAAAGTGTAATTGAGGTGTTTTCTTTATACAGCAGGAATATGTGAAGTCAAGTGATTTTCTTACAAATGGAATTTCTTAGAAATTTATTTTTCTAAATCTGGATTTAGGGGTTCCATATACTCAGAAACATACTAACTATACAGTTTATGTCTTCTCTTTCTATTTCCAAAAGTGCCCTACAGTTTTCTAACCACTGGCTTCTGATGGTGGGAGGGAAAAACAATTTTTAAATTTTAAGTAGTCAATTATAGTAGCAGTAGCATTTAGATAAAACTTTCTTGGTTCTCTTCTGTGGACCTCTGAATTAATAAGACTGTAGCAACCAGAACTAATTATTGCAGGAATAGACTGAAAAAGTGTGCTGAGCCATAGGCAATATGGTCCCAGCCCCTCACATCTAGCATTTCTTTGCGTGGAGTGTTAACTCCAACATGCCTTCTCTTTGCCTTGGCCTGGGGAGATAGTAGGCAGGAGCAAAAGCTCATAGCCCTCACAGAAAAATTCAAGGCTGATACAACAGGCTTACCATGGACGCATCTTTAAGGCCAGGCTGTATGGGGCCCTGGGCAATCTGATCTAGTTTTTGATGTAGAGACTGGCACCCTGCCTGCAGCAGAGGGACTGGAACTTGATGAACCTTCCCTTCCAACCCAAGCCATTCTATGATTCTGTGATACCACATACAGGAGAATATTTGATCTGGTTTATCTGTACCTGTCATAAAGCTTCATTGCTCGTTCAGGACTCATGAACCTTCTACATAACAGCCTTCAAAAGAAATCATATAGTTCTGAGAATATAAGATGCAGCAAAGCCTGATTTTATATAGCTTTATGTTACATACTCAGTTACTCTGGTATTTTGTAAGCAGTGGAAATGTGCCTTTACTTCATCAGCAGCATTGTAAGGTACCTGTGGTGTTTCTCAGATACTTGTTTTGCAAAGTTCATAACTTAGAGGCCACTGAGATCCTTGTGTCATATTTAGTTGAAGCAGTGAGCAGATCCAAGAGTTGTGAACGTTTTGACAAGCAAACAAGCAGAGCCTGATCACATGCACTTCATTTGTTTAGGAAAACAGACTGAAGAAGAAAACAATTCTAGCAGTTAAACCACATGAAGCATAGACAAAATAGTATTTTTTCCCCTACTTATCCTGTATAGAGTATACAAACTGAATACGTATGCATATGCATTTGTTTTCTACTCTTGAGACTATACATGACTTATAAAATCTTACTGGCTTCTGGAATTGGAAGTAACTGAAGACTAAATATACCTAAATGAAAATGTCCGTATTGTTGGTATCTATTCTATATGTACATGCTGACTTAACAAGTACCTATGACAACACTGCAGATAATAGGTCTAATTAACACAACTAGTGAAGGGTGATTTCATATACCGTTTTGGCAGCTGAACCTTTTCTTCAGACTCCACTGCTCTGACTAAATCCCCATTCACATGTGGCTCATAAAGATCAACAAATATGATTCTCAATCTCCCAGCTAAATCCCATCATTAAATTCAGATTTTTCAAAGTTCATAAGGTCTATCAAAACACTGATTGATACCTGAACTGTCAGAAACTCATCAATTGGGTTTGAACATTTCAGCACAGTATATATGGAACTCATTTATATGAAGGTGTTAAAAAAAAAAATAGAGACCTGTACACAAGCCAGTAATACTACAAAGCCAATATGGAAAAAATAGGCAACCTTGGGGAACCTTCATGCCATCTGGCCTATCATGAGGTGAACTGGAGGTGCCAGTTATTCCTACTGAAGGAAGGGTCTTCTTTATTTTAAGGATTCTCTTTGACCTCACTTATTACATCATCCAGCTCGGAGCTATAGCAAGAAATAATAACAATAGTGGCTACCTACATGTTCTGAAGTTACTAAAACATAAAATTAGACAAATGTTGCTTAGAGTGATTATTATTTATTATTGGAAAATGAAAACATTTCCCATCTATGATATGCACTTTATTTTAGTTGGATTGTTTCTTTGATTAGGGACTGTATTATATATAAGATCTGAAGAATTACAGATACTCTTGTAAGAACATAGAAGTCACAGATGCCCAAGATAAATAGAGGCACTAAAATACTATTAATGGTAGAAGAAGCTTACTGGAAGAAAACTAGCTAACTGCGCCATTTTCAAATAACCTACAATTTTCCAGGAGACTGAGATAACATAAATAAAAATATGAATGTTCTCTCTATGAGGTTGTCTTCAAATTTTTTATTTTGTGTTCCAAATTACATTTCAGCCTTAAAATCAAATGCCTCTAGTTTTCCTTTCTCAAGGAAAGAACTTCTTTAAGTCATAGTATTTGCTTGTTTTATTCAACTTGTGACCATATGTAAACCTTTTTAAAATAAATAGTACAAAATTGTTTGGAGGATTACGGAAGTTGAACAAAAAGACATACATCATCAGTTCTTAGGTGATAAGTATCAATAGAAGTAAGCTTCTTGTATTCACATACAGTGCAAATAATGTTTTCATATGTAAGTTAAGCTTGACCTTTATTTTGGAAGTGAACACTTCAGGAACATGACAAAGATGTGTGGGAACAATGACTTATTCCTTATGTAAAAAATTCAAAACACAGTGTAACTTTATCTTTGTTGTATTTGTTGTAGAAGATGTGAAAAGAAGTGTTATCTATGACCTTTTTAGAACCCCTGAAAATTTCATTTGCAAAGCTACTTATTTTATGAGCACCTAGATGTGCTTTTACATTACTACATAATATTCATTATAAAATTTGTTCCAGTTACTGCTCGTGCTTGGTATGGTGGTCTGTGGTTACAGTGAATGGCGAGGACAAAGAGCAGGACCTATCTCACCTAACTATAGCCATCCATAAGTTGCATACTGAATTCACTGACGGTGGTCTATACCACAGGCAGAGTGAAAGTAAGAGAGTGTTTAGAATTACTTTCAGGACAAAAAAATACTTCAGTAATGTCTAATGGACAGGGAAGTACTTATTACTCCAGAAGATGTCTTCGAAACCAATTTTGATCAGTCACTGGAAAGCATGATTTTAGAATATTATATACTCATGAGAAAAGAGACAAAGTGATCCGATATTCTCCTAGCAGAGTATCTCTTTTATCTTTTGAGAGGCAGCCAATCTTCTCTACACCTTTCAAGCAGGATCTCTACTGCTGCCTTCAGAGCACTGGAACAGGCTGCCCAGAGATCTGTAGAGTCTCCTTCTCTGGAAATATTAAAAATCTGCCTGGATGCCTTCCTGTGTAGCCTACTGTAGGGAATCTGCTTTAGTGGGGAGGGGGTTGGTCTGGATGATTTCCAGAGATTCCTTCCAACCCCTATGATTCTGTGAAAACTGCTGAAACATAATTCACCAAGGAAAAAAAACCAAAATCATTATATATAGCTAATGATTTTAGTTTTATACCAATTTTTCATTCAGAAAACCACTGGACAGATTTACATTAAAAAGTTAATTCACAGACAACTTACTCAAAGGAGAATTTTTTTTGCAAAGAAATAGGTTTACCCCTCAAATGACAATGTATAATATTCATGCAAGGCGGTGAGAACTGGCACAGCTGATGCTTCATTTAGCCCAGAGAAAACAAAAGGCAAGTGATACTGGTGGGACTGGTTTTGGGCGGTTGGTCTGGTTTCCAGCTTACCTCTATGTTTTTTTTTTGTTTGTTTGTTTTTTGTTTTTTTTAACTGAGCTGCTCTATTCACTTTGCTGCTTCCTTTGCTGTATCCAGATAAGTCGAGGTTGGCTCGCATTGCACTACTTTTGTTTCTTCAATTCACTAGTTTCACCATGTCACCAGCCTAACCATTAGCATCACTGATTAATTCCTTTCTGGAGAGTAAGTTTTGCTGCATTTCACTGAATATGACTCAACCAGTTGTGTTAAAAAAAATACAGGTAAAAAATAGCTGTTGTCAGCAGCTGCAAATCTCAACTGACTGCCAAGTGCAATCAACTACCTGTTTTATCTTTTCTGCTGTGATCTGCAAATGCACATTCCTCATGCACAACCATCTTGTCGAAGCTATTATGAAGACAAAGTATTTGTAAGTTTTTCTGTACAGATTTACTGCAAAAAGAAGAGAAATATAACTACTGCTTGCACTTATGATGAGAGAGGCACAGGTAACATTGTAAAAATGCATGGTATTCAGATGTTGCCTTCCACTAGGTGTTGGCCTGAAGATATTTCTTGATGTCTTTAAATCCATCATGATGCCCAGAAAAGATATAGGATATTTATTCTGTGGGTCAGATGAAGCTCACATGCTAACAGATGAACTACTTTGTCTTGAGTACCTTGCTATTAGAGATAGACCTACCAGAAACTTACGATCCAAATAATTTATAACAAATAAAGAAAGGAAAATTAACCTTTCTGTAGCTCAGGCTTATTTCCATCTGGCATCTGGAAATAGAATTTGAAATGGACACTGCACTTACCCAAGAATATATTCACACAGGAGCCTACAGTAGTCACTGTGAGAACTGGTAATTAGTAGCAGAATCTTCCCAGCACTCTTCAGTTGTTTCAGCCACTTTTTTACAGAATTGGGACATCTTTGCAAGTATTTTTCTGGATGATTTTTCACTTCTGGGAAATATGTCCCACAGTCCTCTAAAAATTAAAGCAAAATAATATATTAGCCAACCCTAGTCACAAACCACTTAATCTGCACAACAAATATCCTTTCATGTGCAAACAATAGAATTTAAAAAAGGCAAAACAAAGTTTAAAGATTTCCCTGGGTTGTAACTCAATATAAACAAAAAACAATGAAGCCAAAAGGATGCATTGTAGCAGAAATGTTTGTAAAACTCTTACAGAATTTTCAGTTATTGTATTTGATGCTCTTTTACTCATGAGAGTAAATAATGCATATGTTACAGGTTATAATCTGAAACAACAAATAATGACTTCCATTGCCTTTGCTCAAATTTTGGATACTGTTTGTGATTTAAAAATGAGTTTAATGTTCTGAAAATTATGAGAGCATGAAATTCTCAAGAACGTTGTTCAGTTACGTTTTATGTCTTATGTTAGTACTGTCTGATGAGTAATGCTCATGTTAATATTTCTGCTGTTTCACAACTAGCATTTTATGTGTGAAGAGCTGATCAGGTAAGGTGGGAAAGCTCACAGGTATGTGGAATACTAGGAACAGATACAAAGAGAAGAAAACCAACCAGTTCCAACATCAATAATGCTGTTTTTTTCTGAACACTGCAGCAACTGAATTTTGTAAATACACTTGAAATGCAAGATTTTAAGAAGTATAGAATTACATAAAGTTTGCAATAAGATTTATCTATTCATTAATATAATATCAAGTAAATAAAGATATACCTTGGTATAACCCATAACCACTGTACTAAGACATCAACATAATGAAAGTTAATGTTTTTGCATCATCTCTATGACTTAAGCTTACATATTTCCTCTCTGATCAAACCCTCTATATCTAAAAATGTCAAGCTAGTTAAAGGTCTAAAAGGAAATAGCAATGCATAAACAGAAACAACACCAAGTGTTTGGTTTTCTGTCTGTGTGTGTTATAGCATTATGAACATTGCCAACATGAGATTATTTTTCTTCCAGCATTTGTTCTATATGCAACTGTCTGTGGTCAACTTTGCTGAATGATTTAATAAATCCCAGACATTACTTAGCTTTCTGGTATGTGAATAATGCTATTTTCAAGTAAGAAAAAATAAGTTTTAAACCACTTGAACTTTAGCTATTTAATGAAAGAGAGAACATGTACAGTTGAAACAGTAGTATCAAAGACTGAAAGACACATATTGGGTGCTAAACATAATACCATTTTGTGAGTTAACATATTCAAGCATCTACAGATGGCAGGAGAAAAGTCTCCCATAAAGGAGTTCAAATTAAATATCATCACTGGAGCTAAACAAGAGACAAAAAATCTCTTATTCTGTACTGTAACTTGACAGATACCCGTCCAAAAGTTATAGAGTGGACTGCTACATCTCAGGAAAACCCCTTCTAATCCAGTCACTATTTTACTCCATAGTATTTAGGTCAAGACACATAACAGCCTTCACCAGAGGAATATAAGCATGTTCCTGCAGCTAGCTCACTGGGATACCACAATGTTTGTCTTGAGAGCTAGCCAAGAGCATTGGCTTTTTTGATTAAACAAAGCAGATCTACCAAGGAAGGTTTCCTGTGGAAAATGTTTTTACCCCCTTTCCTGGAACATGAATACAGTTTGGGATCAGCAATAAAGTTTTTAGTAGCAGAAGATGCCTCTCCTCTTCAGAATAGCTGTATTTCATGAACAAGTTTTCTATGACTATGACAAGGTTTCTTCTTTCCTCCTTCCTCTCCCCTCCAGAAAATACATATTATACATGAACAAATGGAGATGCAAGCAAAGCAGTTTTGACAGTAGCTCCCACAGGTTCAAATAATCAAAGAAAGATGGTAAAGTTTATTTAAATATGCAGTGATTTTATTTTTATTTTTTTTACCCTGAGGGAAGAAGGTAAAAACATATGAACTTTACTGCTGGGCATATTTTGTTGTCTGTTTTCCCTACCAAATGTCTCCCACTCTCATTCTTTGATGTGTAACCAATGTAAGGCCTTTAAGTAAATTTAAACATCACTGTTCTCTTTCCCCATACACTGTGCTAAGTATATGCTGCATAATAAATCTGTGATACCTCATCTTTTAGTTTCATCTTAAATGGAAAACGTCAACAAGGCTCAATCAAGGGATTCAACATATGAGCTAAAAAAGTCTTATTTTACTTTTCTGTCCAGACCCTTAAACCCAATTGTTAATTGTAGGCAGGCAATAAATCAGTTCTCAACACTGGGATATGGAATTTGCCTCTGGGCTGCTTGCTGTTATCAGGCAGTGATACATTGGAATAACCCTCGTTAACACACACTGTACTGGAATTAGGCAAACATGGCTCAGAAAAAGGAGAGTTTAACTTTATTCCTAACATAGTATTGAATCTGGTGAAGACATGTTCCTTGAATATATACGCATAATAGAGAAGTCTAATCACCAAAGCTTGCAAGACTTTATTGAAATCCAGGTAAAACAAAAGCTGAAAATCTTGTTCATTATCCCAGGCCAAGGGCAAGTGCTGAGGAAGACAGCAGAGACAGAGACACCTTGCTGGAAGAGTTGAGAAAATTTAATTATTTGATGAAGAAATTAGCATCAGGTTAGGCCTTCACAATCAACTGAAATGATTTGATGGAAAAAAATGCTTCATTTCTCACCAAGTACTTCTTATCACTATACCACACACTGTACTTTATTTTTCTTTAGAAAAAACTTTAAAAGCATAAGAATTATAATAAAACTCTGTTGAACAAAGAGTCGGTAAGCAATCAGAAAATAATTAATTTTATTGGTGCTAACACAGGAGAGGAGAAATTAAGCTAATTATAATAAGTGGTTTTCTGCTACTATCATGCAACTCTCTTCCTGAAAAGCAGAAATGTAATTACTAGAAAAGCACCATTCTTGAGAAGTAATGTTAGCCTTCAGTAACTCTTGTGGAGTCTCTAAGTTTCAAAATTCTCGTAAAAATGGAACTATGAACATCCTTTAGAGAATCTTTGGTGGTCCTCAAATTCACTATCATAATGGAGGACTAATGGTGACCACCAGATCTACAACTGACCTCTTGCTACCTGCACATGGCCTAAAATAAAGTCTCCACAATTTTATCCATTTTATAGATATCATTGAACATGCGGCTGTATGGATACTGACATGTATTAATATGCATGCAAAAATTTGTGGAAAAAAAAAGCAAGCAACTTTTACCTCAAATGTCTCTACATAGTTAGCAGATATTTGTATCCATGCAAAAGCCCATGCTAATAACCACACTTTGACAGCATGAACACCTTGTCAAAATGTAAAAGAAAAGTGGAAATGAGAACTGTAATTATCAACTGAATAATCAACATACTTACTCTCCTATGACTTAATAAAAGAACTTATTCCAATGATATAGAGTAGGAAGCAAACCTCTATGCACGGCTTTGTAATTTACTGTTGCTGCTCTGCAATGCCAGGGAACAAATGCCATTTTTCAGCTTCCATTCTTGTTTCTAAACAGCTTCGTGAATTCTCTGGAATACAGTCTAGGATAATGCATTGGCAATTAACCTCTGCAGGGCTTTATAATCATCTTCCAAATACAAAAGTAGTAATTGTCTTCGCAGTTCATTAAGTGTCTTTTCAGAAAATATGTTTTCAAGCAGAAGATAGAAATGTAACCAATTAAAAGGTTGTCTAGAACTGCCACATAATAAAATACTGCCAGAAACTGCTTCAGACCCTCTTATCAGATCCACTTACTGTCATGTTTTCTATGTAACATAATTTCCTCTATGCATATTATCAAAAGTTCCTTTAGCATCTAGTTTGGGGGTTTGTTTTTTCTTGTCTAATCTGATCTTGATTATTGATCAAGATGTCCTTTGCAATTCTTGCCATGTAAGTTAACTGCTTGTAATACAGCTGTGATAATAAGCATGATGGGAATTCTATATATCCGGAATATGAAATCCTCAGACCAAACTCAAAAAGAGCAGTGCTTGTAGGGACCGGCAGAAGTCCTTAAGCAGAGACAACAATCCAGGCTTCAATCCAATCATCCTCCTCTAATACAGTCACAAAGTTATGATATTCAAATATACTATTTGACGTTCCAATACAATACATTAATGTGGGGAAACACAGTTCTTACTTTCTCTTGTGCTCTTCACTACAGCACTTTTCTTTGGCAGGGTCAGTTTACACCCCACTAGAACTAGATTCGTTTGGGCTCAAAGTCTGTAATTTGCATGGCTGGGACAATGTAGTTTTCATCTCTTAACTGTCATTTGGGTTATAAAAAACAAGTGTTGAGTAGGTACATTTCTGGCAAGGTTTCATTCCAAAACTAGAACACAGAAATATAGTACATTTTTCAGGATTGTTACTAATTCTAAGGGGCAGCTACTTGATTGAATATAAAAGAATTTAACCACTATTTATATGGTTTAGCTAAGTAGAGAGGTATGAGACTGAAAAAATCCTTACAATTCAGCCAAGAAAAATAAACTTTCCACTGCCAATTTGTGGCTTGTATTCAGTGGCTTTATAACTAATCATTCTTACAAAGGAAGTAGTATTTGGTATGCGACTTTACTCTGTTTTAAATTCAAAGGCAACTTGATAGCCTAGCTATCAATACCAATTGCTAGATTCTCCACAACCCTGAAGTGAGGAAGGGTTTATACCTCTTTCCAAATTTTAGTCTGAATGCTGGCTTGTACATAACAGTCATTTACTTCAATTCCTCCCTGTTTATCAAATAAAGTCTTACTATATATAAGTGATCAGGCAGACAACTATGTTCACTGCATACTGCTTTCCACTATATTGTGTATTGCTTTTCCAGTGTCTTATGGCACTTGAAGATTTCAGAGTGAACACAAAGACAATTCTTTCACTATTGATGCTGGCTTCTTTTCTTGTCTAAACATTTCCAACATCTAAGATGAACATTCAACATATACACAAGAAAACTGCCTTCATTACAAAATAATTTGCAAGATAATTTACTTTCCTGC